CCCTTTGTGCCAAAATCCGAAAGTTTCGGGTTTCGGATTATAGCTTCCGAAACCTTATCCGAAACTCGAAACCTCATCCGAAACCCGAAACTTCATGAACTTCAATTTTCATACATATTAGGCCATGCAGGCAAATAAAATTGCTTTTCGTTACCCGGCCGAGTAGCTTTTTTAGAAAAGTTACAGATATTCTCATAAATTCTGGGACAACAAAAAATTTCTGATGGCCGAACTCGGAAACTTATTGAATTCGGTCATCAGAAGTTTTTCGTTGTTCCAGAATTTATGAGAACAGCTGTAAAATTCGTCTATATAAAATTTTTATTTTTGTATAAAAAAAAATTTATAAAAATTATTCATCGCGACGCATCACCCTATAATTAAATCAAAACAAAACAAACAACAATCGGGATAAAACTTAGGCCTGTTTACGGTAGTAATTGCACTTGCAATATCTAAAATAACGGAGGTAATATTTCCTTTCCTGGCAGGCCATAGAAATACAATCTGTCGTAAGTCATACATCTAAAAATAATCATTCATTACATATTCGCATATAGCCTTTCATATAAATAAGACATTTGATTACAACCTATGTAAATAAAATAAAACAAACGCCCGCAATATGTCTTGAACAAGGTTAAAGATAAAAATTCCTCATTTGTGTAACTTTACTAAGAGTCAACAAACAAATAAACATTGATCATATGAACAGTTTGAGAATATCATTCAAGATATGTAAGGCAAATTGCCAAGTTAATTAAATTGAAGGTTAATCAATAGAATTGTTCCGGCTTAAGATTAAATTTTTCATTTGGCATCATGAACCTTCAAGTGGTATTCCTGTCAGAAAAAAATTTTCTGTACTGATTAAATAGTTGGCATATACTTAGTTACCATATAATGTTATTATTGTTTATTTTGATAATGGGTTTGTTGAGAGAATAAAATAAACACTATTGAGGAAAATCTCTGTGTAATAATTTATCTAAATGGTCCCAAAAAAATCAAATTGACCGATAGATTTTTTTGTCCCACAAAACTATAAACTTTAAATATTTATTATATTACCCTCTTTTTTGCCTTGCTACGAGTAATACAGTAAGTATTTCAATACTCGAACTTACTAAAGTTACTATTGCTGTATTGTTTTATGAACATGACGGATGATTTGGAAAAGCTAAAATCTGAGCGAGATAGAAACTGGAATCCAAGTAATACAAATGAATATGATCGATTAAATGACAAAGTCAAGGAAGAAAAAAAAAGATTAGAGATAAAAAAAGAGGAGAAGAATAGAAATGATCCTCCATGGAAAGCCTCGAGTTCTATTCAGGATAGGACTAAAGATTATGATACTCCAAGAAGGAAAGAAGTTTCGAGTCCTGATTCCGCAACCACCCAGAAGGGGTTAATATGGGGTATTCGCATGGAGGATATTCACATGGTGGGTATTCAGATAGTCATGTCAGGACTAATTTTCCACCAGAAAATATGCAGCAAGTAAGACGTATGCCTCTTAGGCATGAAGTTATCGGGTTTTAAGTGCGTTAATAATTCTAACAGGAATTATTTTGTTCATGACTTTTTATAATATTGATATTATTTTAAAGTATCTCACTTATATAATTTATGGCATAGCAATATTGTTTTATCTTCTTCGTTTATTTGCTTTATATGCATGCCCTTCAAATTTTTATTAAAAACTTAGCAAGAAAATTTTATTTGTTTATTATAATTTATTCATATCTTTATAATACAGTTCCGAGTTTGTGGGTTTTAAAAGGGTTAAATGGTCTAAAAATCAAGATCCATCAAAAATGTGATAGTATGTGAAATTTTGGCACTTGCTATTTGAGTAAACAATTGGTTCAAACTTCAAAACTGTAGTAGTATTATACAGAATTATTTTATATCGATATTACATGAAATCTATGCTGTTATTTTACGAAATTGTAAAGTATGTGAAATAAACTCCACAATGTTACGTAAATTTGATGAAAAGCTTGGAATAAGTAACCCAAATGTTGACCGTCAGCTGAAAAGTTTTTAAGAAATGGTAAGACGACGAAAACATTTATTAGGATTGAATGAATGTTTGAAAATTCTATTGTATGAGAAAATGTTTAGTGGAATAAGTAATTTATTCCTTCTACAAAGTCAAATTTAGATAACTAATTGTGATGAGGAAAATACGTATTAAAAAAAAAAGTTTTTTTTATTTTGGGAATCATGTGCATGAATGCACATGGCCGTCTTTATCAAAATAATTTACAACAGTACAGTTTAATTTTTAAAATTTATGCTCTTTAAATAAATTCTAGTAGCCTTTTAATCCAAATTTTGTTAATAAATGATATTAATAATTAATACATGCTATGCAATATATATTAGAGCTTAAATGGCGTACATACGTACGTATTCTGTTTTCGCGGACGTATTGTGTGAACCGAATTACCAGGCTTAACATGTGTGGACCCTATCCATTTCATTATAATGAACATTATTATAATTTAGAATATTATATCAAGATTATTATGATATAATAAGAGTACTGAACTACATGGATTTGTTATGCGAGTCAAGATATGTGAGAATATCATCTGTTTTTTGGTCAGTACTGTATAAAGTACTGGTAAAGAAGTTACATTTAACACCTTTCCTCTTTGTATCACCAGTCTTATATACGCAACAATTTTTGACTCCCTGAATCACTTTCTACTTTCGATTTGCAT